GGGCTCCTTGGCAAACTTCAGTCACTTTTCTGGCACAGCACAGCCTTGTCTGCCCTCTAAGATTTTGTCCGCTCTGCTTTGCACTCCCTGCAGCTCCCTGTCTATCCATCCATCTGTATGTTAAATTTAGTCCCTAAAAGTCATTTATCACATAGATTCAGGTAGCCATTTGCTTGCCCAAGAACATCTGGATAGTCCACGCTTCACAGGAACAGCTCCTGCCCTGTGCAGGAGCCCACAGTGCACCCAAAGGCAGCCTTGGCTCCTGCCTCCATGCTCTTGGAGCACAAGTCTGATGAGGTGTGGCTGAGGGAGCTGGAGGTATTTGGTCTGGAGAAAAGGAGGCTCAGCAGGGACCGTCTCACTCACTGAAACTGACAGGAGGTTGTAGCCAGGTGGTGATAGGTCTGTCCTCCCAGGTAAAAAGCAACAGGAAATAGGAAATGGCCTCAAGTTGTACTAGGGGAGGTTTAGCATGGATATTAGGAAAAATTTCTTCAGTGAAAGGAGTGTTAGGCATTGGAACAGCCTGCCCAGGGAAGTGGTGGAGTCACCATCCCTGGAAGTGTTCAAAAAAACATGTAGATGTGATGCTTAGGGACATGATTTAGTGGTGGGCTTGGCAGTGCTGGGTTAAAGGGTGGACTTGGTTTTTGAGGGGTATTTTCCAACATTAATTTAATCATGATCCTTTACCTGTGTGATAAGCCCCTTAGGCCAGAGATTTCTTGTGTGTTTGCTTTTGCAGAGACTAGCACGAAGGGCTCCTTACTCCATCCAAAGCTTCCAGGTAACACAAATCACAGCAGTTTGGAGCTGTGTCTATTGCAGCCTGATGGCTGAGCAGAGGGGAAGGCAGGCTGTCTGAGGCTCTGCACTTATTCATGATCCTTTACCTGTGTGATAAGCCCCTTAGGCCAGAGATTTCTTGTGTGTTTGCTTTTGCAGAGACTAGCACGAAGGGCTCCTTACTCCATCCAAAGCTTCCAGGTAACACAAATCACAGCAGTTTGGAGCTGTGTCTATTGCAGCCTGATGGCTGAGCAGAGGGGAAGGCAGGCTGTCTGAGGCTCTGCACTTATTAGTGGCCTCTCCCCACAGAAAATTCTCTTTTCTCCTTCCCCAGACCCTACTGTGCCAGGAAAGGCCAGGCTAGAGAGGCTCAGAGGTCCCACGCAGTGGCACATGCCTTGTGTGAGTCTGGGGTGAAGCAGGGAGGTGAGCAGAACTCAGCCTGAAGATATGGGCCAGTTCTGCCCCAGCTACCAACAGATATTGAAATACTATTTTTTTACTGAAACAACTGGCCATGAAGCCTTTTAATAACATAACAGAAAAGGTCAGAGAAAGAATTTCACACTTCTTGAGCAAGCAGGCAGCTGGTATAACTTCATGCCTTCCAGGAATGAGGCAGTGAGAACATATAGTGCACCCTGAATTAACTGGGGCTCTAACACCCCCGCCGAGTGCTGCCTGCTTGGGTGGCTGGTGGTTTTTGATGGGTGCTGGCTTTCTTAAGAGCAGAATCAGGCTGGAAGGATGCACCCTGGAGAGGTTTGGTGAGCAAGGGTGCTGGATCCAGCATGGGGCAGAGAGCTCCATGTGGTAGGAAGCACTGGAGAAGGGCCGTGCTAGGGTGGATAAACAGTTGTGTGCAGCTGAAACATGACCACAGTTGTGGAATGGTTTGGGTTGGCAGGGACCTTAAAGATCATCTAGTTCCAATCCCCCTGCCATGGGCAGGGACACCTTCTACTAATCTGTTAGTCCTTGAATCCAGAAGCAGAAGAAGCCCTCAGGTATGTGTCCCCATGCTGCTGTTACTCTCCATCCTGCTTCAAGCTGTCTTACTGCAGGCAGCAAGGAGTAGTAGAGCTGTTTCACGAGCTCTTGTGTAGCACATCAGCTGAGCACATCAGGAAAAGAAAGTCTCAGGGTCCCATGCTCAAAGGCTGTGAAGAGAACTGATACTGGTCAGGCATCAGACTCAATTGCTCAGCTCTCTGCTCCTTCCTTTCCCAGGCATGGAGGGTTTGGAAGCAGTCCCCTGGGCTCACATTCCATTAGTCAATGGAATAGAGTTCCCTAAGGAACTCTTCTGTGACCTGGATAGGGGGCGAGGCACTAGATGGAGCTTTCATCTCTGAAACTTTTAAGTGGAAGAAGTTATGTAAACATGGCCTTGCTTCTAGGGTCACCAAGACCCAGCCCAGCTTCCAGTGAGCTCCTCCTAACAGGGAGAGTAGGACATAGGTTCAGCCTAGCATCCCCTCCTGTCCTCTGGCTGAAGCACTGGGGCTCTGGCACCAGCCATGTCCCTCGCGTGCGGTGGAGGATGCCTGGCTGGGAAGGACAGCGAAGGTGTGAGTGTGTGTTCACACCCGTCACACTGAGCCTGTGGCACCTCCGGGTCCTGTGGGGTGTGAGTGTTGTGATGGGGGGAGCAGAGAGCACAGTGCCCTTTCAAACCTGCCTTTGGACACTGGTGTTTGCCAGCAGCTGCTGTGAGCTTCCAAAAGCCAGGGACCTGCACAGTGGAGTAGGTACGTGCCTTGCTTTCTGTTGCTGATGTATTTGCTAGACCTGGAGGAATGGGGAAGTGGCCTAAGATGATGCAGCAGGAGGTAGGAATTAAGGGGCAGGAGGTCTCCTTAAGCTCCTCATACACTACAGATCTGCACAGCAAAGTCCTCCTGAAAAGCTCCGATAACCAAAGTCATTAAAGCCCAAACAAACCAAGAGTAACTTGTTTTTAACACAACAATGCATTTGATTTGCCTTGAAGGGTCTGGAGAAAAATGGTTCTCCAGGGAAGTGTGGAAAGTAATCCTAGCTCCGTGATCCCTCCTCTCTGCTTTATTTGCCCTGTCTGGCTTGGCTGCTCAGGCTGGGATCGGTGGCCCTGGGCTCCATCAA